GATGCAATGCATCGATCTTGAAACATGGATTTTTGAATCGTGAATCGCCGATTTCGGACAGTAATCAATTTAAAACGCTAAGAATCACGATTTCTATAGCGATTTAATGCTTTCAAAATATATACACATTAAATTACTACAAGCAGGAATTAATGAAGACCTTGAACAGTGTTCGTGCCCTCGCATCTCTCCTTCACGCGCTGCACTATTTACGCCTGTGACTGTCACATGATTGCGCTCGCGCTCAATTCGTCTCACTGACACATTTTTTGAGCAGCTGTTGTGCGATCTCTCCTGAGTACTCGTGGCCAGTAATGCTATAGTGAAGTAGTTTTGCTTTTCTGTAGTTTTTCAATGGCTCTCGGTCATGTCGACGACATTACCTGAGCGGTCGAAGGCTGCGCATTTATTGCATGAACAGAGCAAAAATGTAAGTGTCTAAAGCATACGCGCAGTTCCATTGAATGATAAATGTGTTTAGACAATGTCGTTGAACCAAATGTACAAAGGAAACTGTTAAAATAACCACAGCATTAACAACAACCTTGAAATAAGAGCGCCAGGTTTATCTGATAATCAGATGCATGAACGTAGAGTTCGTTGCTATAGCAAACAGACATCGGGGCGTTTTCTTTCAGAATCATCATTCGCCGATGGAGTGGAAAAGTTAAATACTATAGCATTTTATTTTATGAAAAAGAGATAAAGAAGTTTTCGCACTGAAAGAGAAGTGGTCTCGCACTCATAGACGTGCCAGGCTATATCTGCAGATAAACTGTATAAAAAACAGAATGAACTGAAACGTTAAGACAATAAAACAATAAATAAATACAATTTATAAATGATGCAGTGCTAATTGACATATAATTTATTACAGTACAGAAACTATAAAGTATATATATATATGTATATATATTACCTTATTCTGTGCAGAAAATTTAAATAATTGTTTGTATATAAAACAATCATAAAATTGCCATTAGGAAAAAAATTAGATTACAAATGATTGATTATTGTCCAGCA